ACATGGTCCTGTGGATTCAGCCAGCTATGCGGTTGCAATGGCGATGAGGCCTATATATGTCAGCATATGTTTTTGTGTTTCTCTTTGGGATTTGGAAACATGGTAGCGCGCCTAACTTTGACCATAACTGTCGTACAACGTCTGAAGTGCAAATCCAAATTCAAAAAGGAGTTATTGACCACCGGGCACGACCACGGCAGGATCAGAAACAACACATTTGACCCACTTTTCCTGATTTGTAGCCGTTTGATGGGTTTTGCTAGCGTTTTGAAAGTTTTTGTAGGCGTTTTGAACGCAAAATTAATCGTGGATTCTTGCTTAAATTCAGGATTTGCAGCATCTTTTCAGGTGTTTTCTGTCGTCACCTCTCTTGGAAACAAACCTGCGAAAACCAAACACAATGAAAACACCTATAAGAGAATTGTTAAAACCAACACTGAGGTCCAGAGTTTTTTTGCTGGATTAAGGCATTCTGGGCCACAAAATCGCAAATTCGACACATTGGTGTGTGTGTGTGTGTGTTGATGCCAGTTCTTCCAAAAACATTTAAAAACAATCGTTTTGGTAAACTACCACTTTTTGTGGTCGACTCCGAACAAAAGTGTGCAACAACCGCAGCAAACAAAAATAAATGGACGTTTGAAGATCCAGGTATACATATATGTATAAATATTTAAATAATACGCATGATATATATATATATATATATATGTATGCATATGTATACATATGCATATATATATATAGTTTTTGCGCATGTACATGTGCCCCATGTGCCCCATGTGCCCCATGTGCCCCATGTGCCCCATGTGCCCCAACTTTCTGACAAGACTTTTAAAGCGGGTATATAGATAGTGTGGGTAGATGTTCCCCTGCGCGGTCCATTTCGGGAAGACAAACAGCAAAAACAGCTAAACCCTGCTAAAGCAAGTCTTGAGTGACATGTGTCATTCCCATGGTCCTTGCAACCGGCCGATGGCGAGATGGAAGCATGCACTCCGTGATTTTAAAGTTAAATGGCAACAAATGCACAGTGTAAGGAAGTATAAGTACTATTCTACTATTCAATGTGCATTGCGTTTTTTGTTTCCACTTTTTCAATTGTTCTTTTTGAAGACTGACCCCTTTTCATCTCTCATTGCAGAGGTTGTTACTATTTGGGCAGGTGAGATCCCTCTGATGGAGAAACTGCGAGGCAAGACGCCGCACACTTTCAAGAAGCTAAACTTCTAAACCGGTAAGAATATTTTTTTGTTGGTGGTTTGTTGATTCCCTACTTAGTTACTTTAATCTTAGCTGGATAATCAACCAATTCAATCTCAAAAAGGATGTATAAATTAAATTGAATTAACCCAACATCATTGAAGTGAACAGCTTCCAGCAGTAGCATTGGCATAGTGATCAATGTACACCGTCAAATCCCATGGTGTAAAAGCTATTAAAAGCCAATGGTCTATATGACTGAATGGTTTTGTCGGGAGGTATATATATATGCCCCATGTTCAGACACAATCACATATCACATGTTTGATTTGTTTGATTGTATCCCGCTAACGTCCATTAACATATCCGTATGTTCGTCTCGTGTGTGTGTGTGTCCACAAGGTGGCCCCCCCAAACGATAGCTACTGCAAGATTGCAAGTTGGTTAAGTTCATGAGCTGAATTTTAGGGTTTAGGGTGCATATAGAAATGTGTGTACATATATATATGTATATATGTGTGCATGTAGAACTATATAGTTATTGGGCTCTAAAAACCTCGGGGCACCACCATGTAAAAAATGATGGAAACTACGGAAAATCATCATTGGTAAAGCGTCTGTAAAAGGGCCATCTATACCATAGCTGTGTGACTTCTGGTCAGCTTCCCCCGACCCAAAAAACGCGCTCCTGCAACGCTGCCAGCAATGCTGCAGTCAATGGTCGCCCTGCGGAGGTTTTTGACCCGTTCAAGGGATGGGAAGCGCCCCTGGAAATCAGGGACTCCTGATCCTGCATCAGGATTTAAAACACTTTTATGGGGATATCATGTGGGATACATGCGGGTATTTGGAAATAGGCTACAGCTTTGTCAGGTAGAGATGTATATCACCAAGAAATATTGTGCCATCGGTGTGCATCCTCTCAGTAGATCCCAGATGTATCCTTCAGCTGCCTCTCTTCCATGATCTTCAAGCTTTAAGCAGTTTCCATTTTGTTTGGCCCTGTGCAACAACACAACATTGGTCGATGATTAGTCTGGGGATATCCGGGGATTGTATGGTTGTGGTATCCCTAAATCATACATTTTTCAAAACGGATTTTCCATGAACTAAACCATCCAGCTATTGGGGATCCCATGACTATGGAAGATATGGGGATCATCCTCCCGCCTGCGCCCACAGGAACGAAGGTCGCTTCGATCTGCTGGCTCTGGGCGGGTGCCGTTTCATGACCTCGAAAATGTGGAGGTGACTTTTATGAGGAAAACCATGGGGAAATAACTGCGACAACTTGGGATGTGGGGCCCCTATATCTACGGTTACACCTATAGAACCTCAAGCGGGCTATAATTTCAGCCTGAAACAGAATTTTAAGCTGAATCGGGTTTCGAGAAAAAAAAAAACGGCCTGCGGGCTGATTTCCATATTCGATCAGTTTTAGCAATTTCGGGTGGGAAGACCACAGACATAAAGAAACTCAATCAAACATTTCAAAACGGAAAAATGGTTATGTAAAATGATTCCACTTGGGTATATTTCATTAGGGTCAACCCCACTTGTTCACAGCCCCAAAAGTCAACAAAACTGATTCGGGCAGAAAAAACACCTGCAGGCTGAAAGCCCTGCCCGGGCTGAAATATTAGAATTTTAGGCTGAACAGCTTCAGGCTGAAAAAGAGTCCTGCGCAAGGATGCGGGTGTATATATATATATATATGGTACCCCCCCCAAAGATCTACCATTTTCGACCCACCTTTTTAATATCTTATGGTTTGGGATGATAATCGAGCAGTTAATTGAAAGGGGTGACCATATATATATATATTATATATATAGAGAGATAAACACGTTTACATATACACAGGCATATGCGTTGAATCAACAAAACGTGGCAAACACATAAAAACGCACACACGCAGACACATCCCAAAATTTTGCAAACTTTGCAAACTTTCCTGGGTTCAAGATTCAAGATTCTCGGAGAAACTTCTTGAATCCAGGCCTTGACTGTCATCCAGGGCCCCATGCCAGTCAGCGCTTGGATTCAAGAAGTTATCCCACAATCTTGAATCTTGAATTTTGAATCCTAAAAAATTGCAAGCTTTGCAAACTTTCCTGGATTCAAGATTCAAGATTCAAGATTCTGGGAGAAACTTCCTGAATCCAGGCCTTGACTGTCATCCAGGGCCCCATGTCAGTCAGCGCTTGGATTCAAGAAGTTTTTCCCAGAATCTTGAATCTTGAATCCCAAAAACTCGCAAACTTTGCAAACTTTCCTGGATTCAAGATTCAAGATTCTGGGAGAAACTTCTTGAATCCAGGCCTTGACTGTCATGCTTGGAAACAAGAAGTTCTTCCCGCGATCTTGAATCTTGAATCTTGAATTCAAAAAGTTTGCAAACTTTGCAAACTTTCCTGGATTCAAGCTTCAAGATTCTGAGGGAAACTTCTTGAATCCAGGCCTTGACTGTCATCCAGGGCCCCATGTCAGCCAGCGCTTGGATTCAAGAAATTTTTCCCAGAATCTTGAATCTTGAATCCCGAAAAATTGCAAACTTTGCAAACTTTCCTGGATCCATAAATAAAAGGTATGTTAGAGGTATAGAGGTATTTTCAAGGTCAGTTAAATGGTATCTTTAAGGTATATAATTCGGTAAATACCTTCAAGAAGTATTAAAGGTGTAGTAAACGACATGTTTAATGATATTTATCCGTTATATATATATCTCTCTCTCTCTCGCTGATATATAAATGGGAATATAAACGGCTACTAAATTGTAAATTCAAGGTGTATTAAAAGCAAACACGTGGTAAACACAAGGTATTTTGAAGATATACTAATTAAAGAGATATATACATATTCATATATGATATAATATATATATATACTGTATAGCTTTGACAGCTGACACCGACGCTGAAAACCATAGCACAAAGCACAGAACACAAAATGTTTCTTCACCGAGGCGGCAATAGGATAAATCACTGGTCTCGAGACAAGACTACGCATGACATGCAGGTACCATTGCAGTCGGGTGTGCTCATGGGATTATTGCTGTGGATATGTCAATGAGAATACACGCGCGCATGTGCTGTGTGTACGGGTGCGCTCAGTGGTGCTCAACAACACGTGGGAACTTGTGTTCCTTCAAAGCATGCTGAAACTGAAAGTGGCCGGACATAGCATTTAGGAGAGGTTCCCTGGGAATTGTCCCTTTTGTCATACAATCTGACAGCATATCTCTGGTATCGTACCAAGCGACATGTGTTGGAGCACACCCCACGACATCTCTTAACCAAGCATTCAATATGTGGAAACAGGGATTTTTCCGCTGGCAGTTTCAATGATGTGCCTGTCCAAGCATGAAAAAGGTTTAAGGTGCCTTGCGCAGGGAACATGTGGCAAACTAGTGACAGCAGGGCAACAGCAGCGATGCAGGAAATGTGCATTGGGATGTGCGCTGGAAAACTCAGGGCTCCCTTGGGAGATGTCTCAGAAATCATGGTGGTTTCATTTACGGTCTGGCGATCAAGCGCAAATGAACTCTCAGCAAAACACATGATGCTAAGCAGCGACATTCCTGTGATTCCGACGCAAACAAACATGCTGATTGCTTGGCCAAATGAAAGTAACAGGCTTTGTGGTGTCATGCGTACTGGAAACATGCACGTGCGCAGGTGTGTATTGTGCACGCGCGCGAAATCGCTCACATCATTATCCCAATCACTGTAAACAGAATCCTCACTAAATCGGATTGGGTATGGACTGGAATGCGCTGATTAAAGGTTCATGTGAATGGGACTGCTTGTGATACCCACATGTCTGGACCTACAAGGCTGAAAATCTGAACCTTCAGTGATGTGTTCTGTCAGGCCTGGCTCAGTGGCCTGACGAGTCACACTGCTTCGACAGGAGAAATCTTCGACAGGGAAATAGATCCAACATGCGCTCACTCCATGATGCTTCGCTTGGATCACTCAATGGCACAAATTGACGCACATGCGGCATGGCCCGCTGGGAAGCACAATTGTCGTGCTGGCTTGCCATACGCGGTACAGCCCGCAAGTTTGAAGAATTGATGTCCAAACGCCATGTTGATTCGCAATCAGACCCATCTCGCGCAGCCCACTGGAGTGTAGCATTGTCATTTTCGCTTGTCATCCGCGGTGCGGCCCACAAATCTCTGGGATTGTGAACTGCACCGTCAAAACTGTGCAGATTGCAAGCACCCGTAGGAGGATGCCAATCAGCTTTCTGGTCCATGCATCCCGTGGTTGCAGCAAAATGCCGATCGAAACACCATCCTGTTGGATGTAGCTTCACCAAGAGATCACAAACTGCTTTGCACTGCTGTGGTACCGAACTGTCTACTCTGCAACTTTGCACCTGCTGTTCACTATCCAGGCTGTCAGGATGTCAAAGACCAGCCCTAGATCAGTAGGGTCTAGATCAGTAGGTTTTTTTTTTTAATAGGAAAAATCTATAAATATGCTTTAGTATTGTCTTGATTCCCCAAAAGTCAGAAAGAAGATGTTTCCTGAAAAAAAAGAAGTTTTTTGGAAACATTTGAGAAAATTTAGGGTAGGCAAAAGAATTTAAAATTATCAAGTGATCAAGTGCCAAGTGCAGGGAAAGCATTCCAGCGATCAAGTGCCCAGGGCAGAAAGTTTGCCCATACCAGACCTCAGCATTCAACGTAGCCAGCCGTTCCTGAACACTGGGCATTCCCCCCTCCATTCTCTGGAAGTACTCTGCCGTCTTGGCCAAGTGAGTCTTGACCCTCTGATCAAGCATCTCCATTGCCAGCCTCTAGTGCTGAAACTAATGTGCAACAATAGCGGCTTATATAAACTTGTCAAGCAATAACACTGGTTCACTGGTCACTGGCCACTTGTCATGAAAGGTGATCAAAAATAAGGAACCTTGCACACACACAAACAACAACAATAAACATAATTTGATTCAATTAACGACCAAGGATCACAAACATAGGGTGATCATTGACATGGTCCATGGAAACCTTGCGACCTCCATCCATCCTAGGTGCGAGCATAACACCAAAATGATCTGTGATGCCAAGATATTTCATTTCAAAATTGATCCAAAACACATTCAAAATTGGCATTGCAAGTTAGTAACTCAAGGTATGGTGGCCAGGACAATTTCTTGCTCACTTGGACAGCATGGGCAATGTGCCTCATGGGCAAGTGTTGAAGCAAAATAGCTGGTTGTTGGTATTAGTTAAGTTGGTTTGGTGTTGAACTGGGGCCCAAGGATGTCGTTGAAGGATCTCAAAACTTGCGCTTTAATAAGCCTAGGTTTTCACTCAAATGTGATTCTCTGGCACCTCAAATTGAAGGATCTCAAAACTCGCGCCTTTGTGCCCAGGTTTTCACTCAAATTTGACTCAAATTTGCCTCAAATTTCATCTAAGAAAATTTGAGGCAAATTTGAGACAAATTTGAAAGAAAACACAGGTAAAAATGCACTTTTTGTGGTTACCTTCCAAAAAAAAAGGTCAGCAAAGTAATCTTGAATAAAGTACATCTCCAACTTGTCTTCCTCCGGCAGCCCCTCCATCATTCGCTGGGCACACACCTCATAGTACGCCTGTGCTATGCCAAGGTCAGCTGGGGCAACTGGCTCTGGCACAAACATAGCAAAGGTTGCTGTGGCTCCCTCCATTGGTCAAGTGGCAAGGCTGGCACTGGCTGGCTAACACTTACTTGAGAAAATCAATTTCAGCACAGCAAATGAACAACAACCACCACCACCACCACAACAACAACAACAACAGCACCAATTCGCGAATCGATGACAAGTTACTCTTGCTAGTATACAGCTTTGTGCATTAGGAATAAAAGCACTTCCACAAGCAACACAAAAGCACTTGAATTTCAGGAACAATCTCAAGCCCCACCACCCTTCCCCAAAACAAAACATGCTTGGGCGCACCCTCTGGTTTCCAGCTGCAATCATCTGCTGCTCCAAGTCTTGCTCCAGCAAGTGATACAAGAAAAGGAAATAAGCAAAAAAAACATATTGAAATCCTCTATCCAATTATTAATATTGATATTGCCAAAATATTTTCCAAGGGGATTTGCAAAAGGCACTTGGTCAAGTGGCAAGTGGTTCCTACAAGAGAGTTTACCTACCCTAAATGTTCTCAAATGTTTCCATTTTTTTTTCAGGAAACATCTTCTTTCTGATTTCTGGGGAATGCTAAAGACCCTACTGATCTAAAAACCTACTGATCTAGGGCTGGTCTTCGACATTCTGAATAGATAGAGATGGTTTCAAACTAGTTTTAGATTGTTTCAGATACCTCTTGGGAGCCCTTCCAAAAAAAACAAAACATTAATTTTTGTTTTTTTTTAAGGTTGTGCCTTTGAATGCGGCCTCTATAAAATCAAAAAGTTCCAGAAACTGGACTCTGTTCATATGTTTCCCGCCTCCTTGCCCCCTAACTCCAAAATTTGGTCAATAAACGCCTCAAACATCTTTGACACTGTCCATATCGTTAGGCACAGCAGGACTCCAAAATGGACAGTTCAGGTTTGAAGGACCCCCAAACAAAGTTTTTTTGATTCTATAGAGGGGTTTTGCTTGAGCACTGAGCGTGTTGACGTTGCTTTTCCATTTCCATAGCTTGAAATTGGATGATTCGGAAATCAGTGGGGGTACGTGCATGTACCCGGCTTCAATGTGGACCCATTGTGTTTCTAAAATCAAAAAGATTCAAAAAACGATTTTACCTTTGATTCGGTCCGCCAAAATGATTCGGTCCGCCAAAGATCTGGAGTTATATGTTGTGCAAACAACGCTCAAGAACAGCAAACTGAAACCAAAAACGCATAAATTTGCACGTCATTGCCAAAAGGCAGCTTCCATAGTCATGAGTTTTTAAACCAATAATAAAGGTTTTTTCTTGTTACGTTAAAAGCACATTACTGACCTCAGAGGTGCTGTTACTGACGAATTACAATGTCAGTAATAACAACTTACTATGTGCAGTTCATGCACATTTTTAACATGAACCAATCTTAAAGTATGATGCTGGGGGGGTGAGGAGGGCTCACAAAACCAGGGGCCTGTGCTCAAACATTTTGGACTGCCAAAAGGCAGTTTACTTGAAGATTTCTCACTAAGAATATATTTTCATGAGGGAACATCATAAAATATATTTTCATGAGGGAACATCATAATTAAGGGCTGCCGCCCCTGCCGCCGACCCCGGAACAAAACACCAGGAACGCGAAGTTGTTTCACTTTTTCTTTATGCACCTCCCTGTTGTCAGGATGTCAGGTGACAAAAAACGTTGACGCATGCTGGGGGTCGGCGGATCGCCAAGGTCACACTTAATAAAAAAAAATATAATATAAATATGTTTCAGAGCTCCGCACTTTCAGGCCTTCTCCTGTTTCTTGATATATAGATTTTTATCCCGTTTATTTGATAAGTTGATAAACACATGTTTTGATATAGACTTTTAAACTTCAGAAATAGTAAGAACCCCACATATGCACACACACACACACCACCCACCAAACCTCTGGACCCCGCTGTCAGCAGTTCCTCGGCGAGTTCAACCAGTTTGGGTCTGGAGTTTTTCAGAATTAATCAAAATAACATAAACCCTGCCATTTACCCGCTTTTTGTGGCGAGGCGCAGTATTGCTAGTGGCAAGGTGCAGCAACTAGCTACAGCGCACAGTATGCATAGCATTTTTTTTTGGCACTAATGGTTTGAACAAGGTGTATGTAACCTGTATGTAGTTTTCAGGCCAAGTGTCTTTGCTATTATTTGGTGTGCTTAGTGCAGGCTCTTTATGCTTATTGCCACCCGTCATTGCACAATCCCTTTTTTGCAGTGGTCTAGGTGGGCAAGGTGCAGTATTGTTAGTGGAAAGGCGCAGCAACTAGCTAAAGCGCACAGTATGCATAGCATTCATATTTTCTGTACTAATGGTTTGAACAAGGTGTATATAGTTTTCAGGGCAAGCGTCTGTGCTATTACTAGGTGCTCTTTGTGCAGGTTCTTTATGCCTAGTGCCACCCATCATTGCACAATCCCTTTTACACAGTGGTCTAGGCGGGCAAGGCGCAGTATTGTTAGTGGAAAGGCGCAGCAACTAGCTAAAGAGCGCAGTATGCATAGCATTCATATTTTTTGTACTAACGGTTTGAACAAAGTGTATATAGTTTTCAGGGCAAGTGTGCTTGCCATTACTAGGTGCTCTTTCTGTAGTTTCTTTATGCATATGGCCACCCATCATTGCACAATCCCTTTTGCACAGTGGTCCAGGCGTCCAAGTGTCCAAGTTTGTCCAAAGTCTTGTCCTTTCCCTGTAAGGAATTCTATATTGGCAATGATCCACATCAAAGTTTGGCAAAGCTTTCATATATGGCAATTGCAACAATTTCAATCAATGTCATATGTATATACATAAAATAATTACTAAGTTTCATCTATTCACCCATCACTTTTGAAGACTTCTTCCTCCCTTTAAATCTTGTAAAAATCAAGTGTTTGCGCCTTTGGCATGTTGATTTTGCCTTCATTCAGCATAGCTAGATACTGCTTCTGCTTTGTGTCATAAGTCCCGGAAAACAGGATGGAAACATAAGGAATTAATCAAGCTTAAAGGTGCTGTATAAGCGCCATGTGAAAGGGTGCTGCAGAAGCGCCATGTGAAACGGTGCTGCATAAGCGCTGTATGAAATGGTGCTGCATAAGCGCCGTGGTTTGAAACGCCCCACATCAGAAGGTTTCAGAAGACCATCCAGTTTATGGCAAACAAGAAATTTACGCGGATTTTTTCGACTACAAGTACATCAAAAACATTGAAAAAATATCGAACGACATCAGTAAAACATGTACGCATCTATTAGATATGCTGCCATCATTCACCACATGTTGCATTTATTTTTTCGTCACGGATGGCAACAATTGTTTTTTTGCAGGTTTCAGTGTCCTTTATGACACCCAATTGACCCATTTTGACCCCTGTTTAAGACGCCAAAAATGGCAGATTCACCACCCCATGTCATTTTTATACCATGGAAGCTTTTGAATTTCCTGAAGTTCTCAAGGCTTACACAGCTCATTAGAAGAGAGGCTAGGTTGGTCCTAAAATGAACGGTAAAATTATTGGCAATGTCCTTTTAGGTCCGGGCCGAAAATAAGGAGTAAATTTATGTCAACCCATCTTAAAATTACCCTCTATTGATGGATCCTGACACCAAAAAAAACATGAACATGATAGTCCCCAAAAGGCATGATCCTGAAAAGGATATATACCTGCAAAGGCATGGACTGAAAAGTTTAATGACAAAACTATCTGACTGAGGTTCATCAGAAATCAATGGTAACTGGCTGTCCATCACAACATGCTACCTAAACCTAGGCCTAGTATATAGCATGGATTTGTGATGG